GGCTGAGTGGATCGTGTCAGTATCTGGTTGACGTACCCTGGGCCAAGGTAAACTTGGTGCCCAGACGAAAACCTGTTGTGCACAGTGAATTGAATTCTTCATCTAGATAGTAATGAGTCGTGTCCGGATGCGTTAACACGCCTAATTTTTTGGCGGTCGATATTCAACGGAAGGTCTGGACACCGTTGGCCATCTGTACCACAATACAGCTCCAGAAAGACCCTGTCTCGCATGACCAAATAAACCAACTCACTTTTGTAAAAACGTCTAACCAGTCGAATGATCAAATCCAGTTCCCTTCGAGAAATGGAAGGTACGCATGTGTGTGTGTGTTGATCATTTAGATCGCTCTACTCTTTCGTCCCAGTAGCTATGGGGTAAGAAGATGCACTTCTTATGCGTTAGTCGAAAGAAGAAACCCTGTAAGTTATAGAACCATGCTGAGCTACCTCGAAGAGTTAAGCGAAGTATTCTCTTCTGTCAAGCAAGCAGGCTTCTTTCCAATATTTCACAGACGTCTTGCAGAGCTGGATTGATTACTTGGGTATGAGTAATGTGTACTTAAGGTGTGCGTGCCTTGAAAGCGACCCGAGTCGGAAGGGCAATTTTGATCAAAAAAATATTTGCTACTGTTGGGGATAAGTACGAATGTTTTCTAAAAGTCACTGCATATGCAGATGTCTAGAAATTAATGCAGTTTATACAACATAAACCTGCGCATATTGATGGGAGAATATCCAAAAATGCTCACACATTGTCAACTGGTTTCAAGGGCAAACCAGTCACAATAACCGCTTCAGTACTGCCTACGGTAAGCTCTTTGACTTAGATATTACATTGGAATCCTAGAATTCGAAGAAAAGACGAGCTAGAATATACGCCACATGAGTTCCATCAATCAACGGCGAATAAAGCATATAAGTCGTGATGTGACCTCCAATCGGCATTATAAACTTCGAACGTTGTACTGAACTCAAAGGAATTCCTGGGCATATCAGGGTACTGCGCTCACTGTGTTATAAGGCAAAAATATCCGTTTAGAACATCAGAAATATAAAAGGTCAATTACAGAATATAAGCTTTCAAGTATGACATGCTGTGTTCCTGCCAAGAACAAAATAAATCACCATCCGAGTGGGTTATGCAGAATAAGTGGCCTGGTAATTCGAATAATACCATCACAATTTCACAATTATCATGTCTCGCTTGCCAGGCCAAAGGAGATGTCGGGTTCCAGTGAAGGGGCAGAAACTCTTGGAAACGAAATTCGTCCGTAGGCTCATTTTACGCCTTACGCCCGTTCAGTGTTCGTTAGTCTTGGAGACAGAATCTGGAATCTGTCAAAAGCTATCATTCGGATAAAAAATCTAATCAGGCCGTAATTCTTACGAAAGTGAGTCAGAAATTTCCATTCTTATGACTTGAAACGCTGGTTTACCGAATATACAGCCTACATCGGGAGGCGTTCTCGCTTGGGCCAAAGATGTCCTTGAGTTCAAATCTCCTGGAACGCTTTCCAAACCTCACTCATTTGCAGGACACATTACTACACGCTCTGATTCATGCAGCAGCAATTCCCGAAAAAAACCATCAAGTGAGACGCTGGAATGTCAGATCAGAAGGATCTCCAGTTTACATAAGGCCAGATTTTAAACGAAAATAAACAGGAAGTATTAAGTCCACTGAACAGGCCATTTGTCCGTCTCCCCCGGTAATAAGTGCCTCGTTCAAAATGACCAGTTTCTTAGTAACTTTTGGACGAGAGCTCACCCATAGATGACTGTGATTATCTCTTAAGTGTGCTTCTTGAAAAAATCCCATGCAAACTCGCATGTACCGTTCTCGGCCCCACCGTCAGGAGCACTGCTTAAATTCGTTGACGCAAACCGACGGGGTGGACCAGTGAACTGCGCCAACTAAGAGAAGCTGATGTTTTGCACCTTGCCTTTCGTCTAGATTAATGGCAAGAGTATGAAGACATGTGTTACTTACACTCAGATTGCGCAAGGCATGGAGTTGACGGACGACTGCGTGACGACGGAGGCTAAGCCCGAAATAGACGTTGCAGCATTCACTACCTGCGACAGTAGTAGTTGCTAGTTGTCGACTGCGCGTCGCTGTGCGATGGCCTGAAGAAGCTGTAGACCTGAGCTACAAGGTGCGACGAAATGCCATGGGCGATCACGCCAGATCACTGGATGCCACTTACACCGGAATCTGAATAACTCCGAAAACAGCCCATGGGACGTGAGCTCGTGGGTAGGCTGGTAGGCCGTTCCGTTTAATGACCAAGTAGGCTCTCATTCAATCCTCAGGCTTTTCGGGCTGAGGTTGGGGTACGCTTGGCTAAGTGGCGATGGCATATAAACCCGAACCCCTTTACCCTCCTGGAGAGTTCCTTTGGGGCCGGCAGATCGATGGAGATGACCCCAAACCTGCGTTAAATCGAACTGAGAAGTATGAAACATCTCCATGCTATAAAAAACTACAAGGTAAAAGAAATTGATAACAGCAGACTGATGTTGAAGTAAGAAATCTGCGTGCGAGCCAAAGTAACCAAAAAAGCAACACGTTAAACACCCACGATTTAAGCCTAGCGCCACATGTGGCATTTACCCACCTTTGGAATTAGCGCGGGAAAGACTTGCTATCACTACTTTTTTTCGCGATGGGCCCACTCGGAAGTAAGGTCTTGCATTACTAGCCGTCCTGATCACCCGAGGGACATAAGTCGCCCCTTCCCAACAAAGTTAGCCCACGCACTTTGAAAGGCAGATTTGAGTGAGTGGAGCATACGAAGAAAGACCGCCGCGTCGACTCCCCCACCCCTCCCACAAGAACGCTAAGCGCATCTCAACCCTGACAGCCGGTGCCGATACGCTTGAATGTGCACGTGTCGGGTAATTGGTTGTCACGTGGTTTGACGTCTACTAGTGCAACGGCAGCGGCAGGACGTCCAGTTCAGCACACACGTGCGCCCACAAGGGTGCGCACGAAGCGAGCACTTTACTTCGGCTGCTGCCGGGAAGACCAGCTTGATAATTAACGATCTGGTGCTAAAACTACACCTGAACTGGACAATAATTCTATACAGAGAAAGCGCATAGCCGGAGTACATCAACGCTGACGCATTTTCATGCGCACCGAGACCTGCGCTCAGAGACCACAGCATGCCAGCACGCGATGACACTTCTCGCTATTGACGCGCTGCACTACCTCGCACTGAAATACTTCTAACCTAACAGGCGTGGCAACGCGCGAGTTTGACCATCCTCTGGAAATAAGTGACCCTAAAGCGAATAAGACAAGGGTCACCGGCAGTTACCCACCAGCTTTTGTGGTTCGGTGCAGGTTAACCCATGTAGTCGAACCAATTTCACGCCGTGCAAGGAGTAAGCTGATAAAAAGATGCAACTGGGTAGTTATGGCGAAGGTGCAAAAAGTCAAACGGATCCGACGTTAATCCAGTCACCAATCTGCATAAACAAGCCATGACTGACTCAAGGAGGCACTTCAACTGCTGGGCTCATCCCTACAAAAGATATTCGTGGGGCACAAAATTACGGCAATTAGTAGCTTCCCACCTATATATTTATGATACTAAATGCATGAAGAAGTTTGGTGTCACGATACAAAGGGATACAATGCAAGAAAAAGAAAACAGACGAAGAGTACGTGTATTTGAACAAGTCCATCGAAAATCTTGATTGGTTTCGGGGGAAACAAAACACTGTAAAGCATTCATACAAACATGAGTTGCCGCAGATAAGGAGTGATAGTGTGTGCATAAGCTCTGCAAATGAACAAGCAAGAATTTCGTTCGCGCAAACTGCGACGCACCTTGAAAACACTTGTTCTGGCTTTTTGCGACAACTGTAGGCGGGAATCTGTGGCAGAAAAGTCTAGCACATATTTGGGCTGATAATAAAATAGACAATGTAAACAGGTTCTGTATATACACTAATTGAGTAGCTCCAATGGACCGTCACAGTGATTGGAACGCTGTGTAGAAGACCTATTGAATGAAAGCGCGAGGAGTCTATATGCTTCGTAGGGAGCAATCCCAGACAACGTCAGACCGCTATAACTTAATTCTGTCGGGTGTGTTTGGAGATGAGACGAACAGGTCAGGTCGCGGAGTAGACAGGAACGAAAGAATCGGCCAGAGAACACGCAATTTCTCCAGATCCTAAAGTTTGACCTTTGTCCTCACTGTCGTAGTGGCATAGTGCGCACATGAAAGCATTGTCTCCAATAACAGCATCTCGGCTGCATTGGTTGTTCAGATGAACCCATCGATTGCAGTAGTCACAGTAAGCCCAGTCGACAACCTAGGGAATGGAAAATAGACGCAAGGCATGAAGATGAAAACTAAATTTCATGAATGGCGCAAGGCATAGTCAGCCTTTATTATTAAAGTGAGATTATGGATAGCAAGTGTACCTGGCAATCATCTGTACTGCCCGATAATTGTTGACTAGCAAAGCCTGGTGGTTCCATCTGACCGCAGACAGCGCACACACCAGGAGCATCACCCTCCTCAATATCGTCAACGATCTCGGCGGTAGCTTCTGGGTCCATAAAATGGCCCTCTATCATCTCGCCATCATCAAGCACCATATGCCTCACCATAGGACAGTTGGGAATATCGTCAATTGATGCTGGCAATCCAGAGTCCGTAGAATAGCACTGCACGGTGGAGGAATCACTAACGATATTGTTGGGTGTCTGGACGGACACAATTGGTTGTAAATCTCCCGTTTCTACAGTGTCCAACTTTGTTTCATTGATAGGCGTCTGAGACAAAAATAAAACGTGATCAACACTTAACACAAGATGCAAACAGAGAGTGCGTACACACGCGATGTGTTGGCCAATAAGGGACGCTCATAACGATCAAAACTTCAACTCACTGCGACAATTATTAGGTGATATTGTCGGCAAATTGACAGCTGTGCTCACCTGGACGGATGGCGCGAGGGAAGTTACTGGGAGATGTGAAAGAGTGGAATTGCAGGTAGTAGTCGTCCGATGAGTCAACGCTTCTGTGGTCGGCTCCAATTTTCCAATCACTGGGCGAATTAGGGCGGCCCCGGGTCCCTGTAGGCGAATTGATAAACACGGACCGTTGGCACCAGACCTCGGCGGAAGAGAGAACTGCTGGGTTGGTTGGCCCTCTGTCTTGATGGATGTTGAGTGAAGACGCTGATTTGGCTGAGGTGACAGGGACTCAAACCTTTTGACGAATCGCTGATTCTCTTTTAATTGACGAAAAATAAGAGTTTAAGGACTGGGGGAAGTCGATTACTAACTACTCTGCTGACAAGAGACCAAGGGCTGGACAAATGTCGGCGAAGCACGTGTCTGGGATTTTAGCTAGTACCTGTGCCGTCAGGTACGGTATATCGTGCAACCTACGCTAACTCTTTTGAAACGAAGCGCAAATTTAAAGCGTTCATACTGCCTAAAAGTGTCACTATCGTGACGGACTCCTGAGTAAGTGCTCGAGAGGCATTCCACTTTTTCGACTGCATGTTTCAACGACATTCAGGCGTTTCCACTGGCGGATACCAAATAAGGCATAATGTGGATTCCTCGAAGACGGAGAGACGCTCCTAAGTGACATTGTCGGCAGTGGACGTGACTAACACCCTTCGTGCGTTCTTGCTGCAAATAAGGCAGAGGAGCTGGTAAAGACGGAAAGTGAATGCAGACAGGACGGAATGCAGATAAAGCAATCGATGGTTCCAAACCGCAATGCTCGACGAAAATTGTTATGAAGCTCAATAAAGCGTTCAGCAGGTCAAGTTAATTGTTGTTTCCGGCTACGGCAAACTCAAGAATGACCATTAAGTACTGTACATAGAGACAATGTTCAGGAACATCAGGAGCTCGAAGCAGAACCTTTTTAAGTCTAACGCTTTGCAATTGAGGCACAGGAGAGGATGGGAGCATACAAAGTCCAAAGGAGGTTGCGTTTGCCGATCTATCCTGATGGCAGGACAGAGATTTAATTTTCCGTTCTGCCTTGAAAATCAGGTCTGAAGCCCTCGCAAGCGGCTGCACAATGGGAAACAATTAATGATCTGGAAGTACTACGGAAAAAGACAAGGAGGACGTGGATCGCTGACCACAACTCTTCGCGGAAAATCAAATTGAAGGCAAAGCGTACAATACAAATGTCCGTTCCCGTTTAGAGCTCTATCCTCACTTGTAGGACAGCAGATGAGTAAAACTGCATACCCAAAATGCCCCACAAAGCGATGAAAGAGCACGTCGAAGGTGATTTGAGTAATGGCTAGCAACTACATCAGGAACAGTTCGAGTTAGCCCGAAGCTTTAAGGCTGAATATAGGGACCCTCAAGTATGGTTCAGTGAACGACGTAGCTTGCTTTTAAATGCACTCCGAGGACAAGAAGTCAGTATAACATGCATTTACTCTGTACAATAACATAGAAGACCCACAGGTGACTCTGCGGTTTAAATTGATTCGAAGCAGTAACAAAAAGTAAACATAGAAGAGGCAAAATAAGAAAGAAGCTCACCATCTCGATTCAAGAGACTAGAACCCGAAGAAAGCATGACCTGAGGAGCGGCTTGCCCCAGTCTGGAATTCGAAAAGATACCAGTGGGAGCGTACGATGACGGATGGCTCTGAGTACAGTAATTCTGCATGGAGAAAACCGCACTGTCAGGCTCGACGAGAGCGTTCATGTTAGAAACGGGCCATTGCGGATTGACGCCACCGCCGCTGCATTGGTCAGGGAAACCATCAGGATCTGAATCGGGATTCACTGAATCGTAGTCGTCAGCCTGAATTAATGAAAAATGGAGATACCTGACAAGCCCATTAGCCAAATAATCAGTAGCAACGAAACACCAAACGTAGAACTAATATGACCTAGGGTGTCTACAGTCACTGGTTTTAAGTCCTCTGAGCGTTAGCAGTGATAATAGAAAAAGAAGAGTGGACAAGGCTTATTTTCGTTTGATAACTAATTTTGTTTTAATTACGGGAGAGAATGTGCAATCATTAACGCAAGCGCAGAGCAAAGTACCGAATTCGGAGAGAATGAACTTAAGAATGTATCACTTGATCTAATTTTTATTGGACAAAGTTGCCGTTGGGCAAGAGAATATGCCCCCCCCCCCACATAAGAGGTGGTTTTGCCTTAAATTCCAGGGGAGTAGGAGTTGGGGTTGGGTTTGAAGGCTATTGCTGGGGCTAGGATGTTTAAGGCTAAATTCAGAACGCGGGAATAGAAACCGCATGGGACTTAGTGCGAGGGCACCTGTAGTACTGTAGTCACAAGTGCCTCGCTTCCTCAATGCCGATCGTCAACCACTTTCAACATGCCCGCGCTGCGAATTGGTCCCGTCGGACACATTCGGACGTAATGTGCCAACAACCCGACGTCTACTTCCACAACTCTCGTCCCAGTTGCAAATCCCGCGCCGAACGCCACCCCCGCCACCGCCGATCACACTGCAGCTGTCCCGCCGATATCAATCACCGACACTATCCGCCCTGCCCCAACTGCTGCGTCGACGACCACCACCACATCACGCACTCCCCTACCAATGGGGCGACCGCCCTAACTGCTTCCGCACATACAGCCACCGCATGGGCCTATTAGGCCAAATGCGCATTCGTGAAAACCTGCGGTAGACAACCACCGACTATACCACACCATCACACCTTCCCTCACCAGCACCTGCACCATACAACATCACCCATCACCACACAACACAAGAACTCAATTGCCCCTTCCCACGCAAGTGGGAAGTGTGCTTCTCGGCTCCTTCTCCGCGTGGCTCCTCTGCTGCGCGTGTGATCCGAGTCTGAGACTATTACGGTGTGCCAAACGCCGTGGCTAGGAAGGCTGCCGACTTACGCCTCCACTCAGTCCACGCGGCCAGCCCAGTTGTGTTTGTGTGGAGTAACGGACTGGTGGGCTAAGAATTAGGCTGCCACGGCTGCTCCGTAACGTAACCTCTGGCACCCTCAAAAATGTGTGATGTGTGTTCATAGGGGTAGCGTCTCTCAGTCGATGACTGACTGATTACCCCGCCTCCGAAGGATATTGTCCCAGGCTCAGGGCAGGACTGCGTGTCACCCTTCTGGGTCTCAGGAATTGTGAGCGCAAACTATGGCCCGCGCAGCCTGGTGTGCGCTGACAGGTCTCTGGCACCTGGTTCCCCTGTCGGTAGATGCGCTTGCGCTCCCCCTGGATATATAGGTCGCCGGCATGGCTGCCCAGTCTTCCTCGTCCTTCTGACCCCCTGTTGGGGTGTTGTTGTTGGTCAAAAATCCTGGTCAAGTGTTTTTTTGTGGACCAGAGGATGTGGTGGTAAGCCTAGATGCGGGTTCGGCCGCGCCAGTCATCTGCTCCTTCTCCTGCCTTCGGTCTTCTTTACTGTTTCTTGAAACCGGGACAAGATAGGGCGGAGAGTGCGGTAGATACCTCACAAGTCTACCCTCACTATAGACCAATTCACGAGCAAGTCACTGTGCCTGCTTAACCTTGTTGTGGAGTGCACGGTGGACATCGTCGGGCACAACGGTCAAACTGTCAGTACTGGGAGAGGGGAGTCCATATTCACGTATCCGACCGAAGTTAATTTTCCAAGTTCACACACAAAGTTGAGTGGTCAGTGGTAATATCTAACTTACTATGTGGAGGTAGGTGCCAATGGAGGTGGCCAGATTGTTGAATGGGCACACGCCGAGCTTCTCGAAGAGAGCAACCATATTGGCGGAATTCAACGCCCTCTCATATGCGTGAGTAAGGACAGGAGCTACGTTGAGTTTCACCAGGGGTTGATCGCTGTGCTTCTCGAAAAACCGATCTTGACGTTTTTCGAAGCAGTGCTAAAAGGACAGAATAGTAAAGTAAGAGGAAACGTACATCTGGAAACGAGCGAGAACGTAAAGTGAGACGAAAACTTGCCTGAAATGCGACAAAACAGGTATTTTCCACGCAATGGTTGTAGGCTGGGTGAGGTGGTAAGGGGAAGAGAAGTACGCCATCTTCCCGTGCACGCTCCAGGACCCGGACACTGACGAACTGTAGATGTCCATCGTAGAGCAGTATGAGAGGTCTCTTAGAGACGATTGGTCGGAAGTGTTTCAAAAACCATTGAATGAATGCGTCTGAATTCACCCAAGCAGAGGGGGAATTGGCAAATTTGGTGCCCCGCACAGCTCCCTCCATCATTTTTGCTGGAGTACAAAAGAAACAATTATTTCGTGGGATTTTGGGCTTTCAACGCCACATTCAGGGTTCAAATCTATGCTCGCTACTTTGAAAATACCGTCAACTTCCAGAGTGCACTGTTGCCCCTGTCCCTCCCTCAGACTATCTTTGACTGAAGCTTATGATAATCAACAAAGCGAAACGAAAGAAAATCATGCGTTTTTGACGGTAGGCATTGGTGCGTGGTCGTATGTGCGAGCAGAACGGCCCAGCTAATGGAAAATAACTCTATAACTAAGGCCACGAGGGCAATAAACATGCAACCCTATAAGTCGGAAAGAGATGTTGAGACAAACACCAAAGTAAGACATAGCACAGCGAACACCGGCACAGCATCCCATTCCAATTTAAGTAGGATCAAGCAGTCTTGTGTGTTACTAACAAGTGCGGTGCGGATCAAAAATTGCGTCTCCATATATATGCACAGTGGCGCGCGTCAAAAGGCCTGACAATATGGAGTGCAAGCACTCCTGATTGTCCGAACAACGGTATAAATGCTCAGTAAACAGATTATTCTAATTTCGCCAACCCAAACCTATTTGACTGAGACAATCCCGGACTAAGGAAACATGGGCGACGTAGGCATGGCCAGCCTAAATCTTATCATAAATATGCAGGGTGGGTGCCCGACAAGTAAAAAGGCACAGCGTCGTTGAGTAGGCCTTAATGGATACGATGTAGACCAATAATTCCAGTGTCTCCATGAAACTTCCAATTGGGTTTATGACAAAACCGTTGGGACCAACGGCATCCTAAGACTTCTTGAATCGATATTTTGCGGCCTACAGACGAAGATAACGGCTTTGGTATGGGTAGCGTAGTCAAGGATAGGTCACGGACCTAATGCATCTGAGTGAGCTAAGGGGTATGCACCTTAAACGAAAATGAGAGTCATGCGATTAAACGAGCATTACTTAAGACCCATCAGTCGGTCCCGAACGAAACTAGAGCCAAACTACCCCTCTGCACAAATGCCTTTATAGAGTCACGTTTAAGCTCTTTAAATCCGATGAAAAGGATGCAGGAAAAGCGCAGGCAAATGATAGGGGGATACATTGGACAGCACTAACGAGGCATTAAGGGAAACGTAAAAGCAATTCAATTAGAAGATTCCTTGATAAAGTGCACAACTGGCCCCCATTTAAGTTCAAGATGGAGACAAAGCAACACTTCCCGATTTTAAAATTGAGAATTCGGAAAATGTTGATAATTCCTACTGGTATTAACGTCAGAACATGTGGTTCTCTGCTAGATATGCTAGGGACATGACCTATGGATGGTCGAACAGACGAGACAGGCCTTTAACTGATTAGATGTTATGCAAGATCAGGTACGGAGAACTAAGGCAAGCCAAGAGGTTAGGATGAGGACACGCCTAATCAACAGAGCATTATTAACGGAAAGACGGCAGTTGTATTTTCCCAGTTCAGAAAAGGCTCTTGTTGAATGGAAGACAGACGTTAAAGAGTTATGGGTAATAAAAAGAAGTACTAAAAAGTTTACTTGTTATGGATTCGCCCCTATATATGAGAAATGGGGGAATCTTCTCGCCTGCCGCGCTTGCCGCACCAATCATCGCCACAGTAGGATTCCAGTAGCTTGCCGACTGAGAACGCTGAATTCCAATGGGAAGAATGCGGGGTGGTTGATTTTCACAACTTATACTAACTTCATCGACAATCCACATATGCTCAGGCTTGTCCTTGATTCCATACTTCGTGAGGACCTGAAATTGGGGCAATTTCGATAAGAGTACTAAAGGCCAGCTCTAGCGTTAGCTAACTCTTGTTAAACTAATTTCAATAAAAATATCTTTTCATACAGTCTCCTTCGTAATTTGGTTGCCTTGGCCCAAACAAAATAAAAAATCCAACCTATGGTAAGCATAGGCAGCGGGTTTGGAGCAGGAATATTGTGGCCTGGTCGGACTTTTAAAGGACGGACCGCAAAGCAATGTGATTCACAAAAAGGACGCAGCAGAACTTTCAACAGTCTATCGATGCGAGTGTTACATTGTGTAGGAGAAGGAGCTGTCCTAGCCAGTCAATTTTGGATTCGCTAGCTGCTCGTTTAAATCAAAAAAGCAATAGTAGGTGCACAGTAACAGTAACTTTTAATCGGCAAGGGGAGCGCCAGGTAAAGTAAAACAGAAACAAACGAAAGTAGCGTGGAGATATTAAGTTGTGCGGTGCGGGAGTCGAAAAGGGATCGGTAGGAAGCAGATAAGTGTAAAAAGGTTGACCCGGAGGACGACACGGAAAATATAATAAAATAACATTGCTACTTTGATTAGCAGGTAAAGTACATTTGCACGTAGTAAGAGATTTACCATTATCGGCACGTTTTTCATTGGGGTGATAAAACGTTTTGACAAACATGCAGCATAATGTGGATTATTTACCTTGTCAAGCTGCTCGAAATAGGCTTGAATTGCATCCCCAGAAACGCCCTTCGATTTCCAATTGCTTCGGGGTCCAAACAAGAAATTCTTCAAATCGGGCCACCGATTTAGGAAGGCGTAAAACCATGCCTGACTTGGGTTCAAGTATTTGAAAGGTGCGATTCGACCGACTGCTTTTGTCATATCACCAGCCAACTCCACAACCTTAAGTTACAAAAGAAGGAACAGAATAAGATTGAGAAAATAGGAAGTGCGCCTCGCTAAGGAGCTTCACTAGATGCATTGGAAACAAAGCATCTTGAAAAATAGGCATTTAGTCACTTAAAAAGATCGTAAATACTACCAGAGCAAGTAATGGGAACAAACATAAAGACCAGGAAGAACTTCAGAGCTGAGCAATTATACTAAATTCATTCGTTGGATTCCAAGGTCGCCCATTCGGCCGAGCATCACAGGATTGCACAGGACAAGTGAGTAAAACCAAACAGCCATGAACCTGAGACAGAATTTTAGTGACTTAAGCCATCATTGAACGTTAAACCAGGAGGCGGTAGGCAGATGCAACTGATAAAATACGGCATGGAAGTGTCAGTAAACTCAGAAATCTGTATTCCAGAGAACAAAGTCGAGCGACTCCACCCTTCCCTGACCAATTGTGGTGAAGGACTGTTCTGGAACTGCTTGCGGATGATAGTCACATCTTGCAAATGAAAGTGTCGCCTGCGATGCCAATACTACGCTATGAATGTAGGCAAAAGCAAAGAGAGCGACATGAGGAGGAAAAGTGGGAAAGCGCGCCTCTTGTTATCAAACTTTTAGTTGTCATTAGTCTCTGTTCATGTTGTTAATACTCGTGGCTCAGTTCATTGTGACTTGGTAATGGTTGCAGAGCTGCATAGTTGCTGACAAGGCTTCTCCTGTTTTTCAGGCAGCGATTCGGCCCGTAGGGTGACTCTCTAAGTTGTTGTTGGTGTGGCGTATCAGTTCGATTTAGCAAGTCTAGGTCGTTCAAGTAAGACCGGTCATTGCAAGATAAGTTTTCACACAGTACCTTAGTGAGTCTTCTGTAGCCTGACAGCAGAAAAACATTTCGTTTCCTTGTAATTCTGAAATTTTCCTCACACATAAAATGGACCCATAGATTATATCTGGGTCTCCAGGGCTATGGCACCGGTGCTTGTGGGTCCCCGCGGTGTCAAATATGCTCACATTTTAATGTCATGCTTTTACTCGAAAACTTTAAATAAACCCCAACGGTTGTTGTTAAATAGACGTGATATTAGGGTCGGTCGTTAGCGTGGGAAAAGGTATAATTCGAACAATCGTGGACTGGAACGACTATCCAATAAAATGCACAGAGATTAAGTTGCAGTTTGCATTCGGAGTATCAATCAGAAGGAAATCCTGGGTCAGGCATACGAATGCAACAATGTCGTATGCTAGGCTAGCTACCTCCTAAAATCGACAGGATAAAAATATGCCAATTTGCCACGCTGTCTCTACTAAATTGCTTGTACTGACTGCTGTCGAATTCGAAAGGAAAATACTGAGAATGCAAAACATGAACCCAATGCACACCTGGTTCCGTGTGTACGGATATCCAATTTTGCTCATGAACAGAATGTGATCGACCATCTTTTTCTCCTCTTCAAAGGTGAAAAACGTGGGTGGACCTGGTCGCGAACACTCGAGGCTGACGCGTCCATGCACTCGGTCACGAAGAGTTGATTCAGGGACATTGAAGGCGGTTGCGGCACCACGAAGAGACATACCTTGGTACTTTACAGCATTGTAAGCGTTCGTCATGTCGCGCTGAGTCCAGCGGCGTCTGCGGGACTATTTTAAATAACATTTAATAACAGGTACGAACTTTTTGTTTGGTCATGCTAGGGCGTGTGCTTAGGGTCCCGAAGTTCCTGTACAAGATAACTTGTTGACGATAGGCTTCTGGCATTATATCCAGGTCTTCGTCGTGTTCTTCTCCTTCAAAAGCATCATCGGAGCAAGAAAACTCTTCTTCGACCAGCATATTGCTATCAAGGAGATGATAACGGAGATGCCGTGAGGCAAACCTCGAAATGGGCTAAAATAAGCGCGATATGCAGCAGTCGGCATGAAACGGAAATACAAAGCATCTGAAATCGGGAAGAGGGAGTGGGGTAACAAAGCACCCGTAGAAGATGAACAACTAACGCCTAAAGTAGTGACCATTAAAAGGCTGTCAGGGGTTGCAGCAGTACGTAGCAAACCGCACACTAACAGCAGGGCGTCAAATAACCCAATCCTCTGTAAGGACACATCAGAAGACTAGCATCGGCCGAAGCGCGATGACATCTGTTGTTCTGGATTGGTAGGCTTAAAATTAACCTTCGGATTACCCAAAACATTTCACTAAATTTTGCAGGCCTTAGTGTCAGGCATATATTCGATGCTTCTGAACCGATTAGGTCACGATTTGGAGGATGCTCTCGGGCCAAAGTATAAGCTTTTGAAAACTGAATGAAGACAGAACAGCATTAAGCCCTGTCTAATTTAAGGCAAAGAAGAAAATGCCAATAAAGATGGATGAGAACACAACAGGGAGCTTTTATATTTCAGAGCAGGTTTACAGGAGAAATACGCAGAACTCATGCTCTCTACGTCGAGGCGAAATAGTCCAGGATGAGCAAAGCAAATGTCTACGCGACCAAGTTGCCATGCCATAATGAATCGGCGTTACTAAGAAGTTAGGACACATATTTTGTAATGATAACAATAAAGAAGGCCTAAACAAATCCTGAGTTTTTAAGGATGAACTGTGCAACAGTGAACGATGCGGTTTGGATTGTACGGTGGTTAACCACCAGTTGGAAAACCATTGCCTTGCTGACAAAAAACGGCGAAGCAGAACGGTTTTTAAACTGGTAAAATGACGTCAAAACATTAAATGTTGACAAAAACAAAGACAATGGGGCAGGTAATGTCGGAGTGCCAAAGCCCTGGATGGAATTGTGCTGAGTAATTCCAACAACAATAAATAAACGGGTAATCTGTTCAATTGTCTGCCACATAGCTAATAGTACTCAGTAGAACAGGAAGACAGATTAGAGGCAAAAAACCTTTAAAGTTTTTAACCTAGAGTACATGTTCTGAATGAAGGGAAAGAAGATCTTGTAATGAATATGTCCTTGCAAACAGTTTTCGCGGTGAGCAACCCAAAAATGATTCAAACAGCACCATAATTTTGAAATTTGAAAGACTAAATAGTAGATGTTGATTTTTACTGACAGATTATGGAAAGAGAGATGAGACCGATAGAACATCCACCCTGAACCACGAAGATAGGAAAGGCCTTACCGAGAATATGTAAGGTTTTCAAGTTTGACGCACTTTACCTCGTCAAAGCAATAGGTATGTAACTTAACAAGATTAATTTCCAAGGCAGACTTGTTAAGCGGAAAACCGGAGCTAATCTCCCTTCGGCCTCTCCTTTTATCAAACAAGTACTTTAAACCTAAATAAATGGCTCTGACGTTGGAATTTCCTCATCTCTTTGTTGGATGATATATCAAGTCTGCCGTCCAGATTAGAAGAGACGATTAGGACTATCCCATCGCCAGAATATTCTAATGTTCTTTTTCCTTAAAATTCCTAGGTGGATTTAAATCTATGTCATAGGCTTAACGAAGACTGATCTAGGAATGTAATAAGCATTTGAGAAAAAGTCATCATGTGGATCACTGCTATTATCAAAAGTGTTTCAAAGGTGAATTAAGACTAATTAGGAATTGTGCTCCAGTACAAGTCCAAAACAATAGAGACTACTGCAAGTCGCAGAATATAGACGCAAGCATTTTATCAATAAACACGATGTAAGCGCTTCTGGCGTAGTGGTCGATAATACTTGTTTTGCTGACCATTGTTTTTTTATGTTGCCACTGTGTTGACCATCTAATATTTTATGTGCCACAGTCCTCATTGCCTTCCAAATTGTCTGTTTGAATCAAATGAAAACATTATTATATTCTGGTGAGATGATACCTCTGCATTCCAGAGGCACAAGCGAAATGGTAAAGTTTACCAAAAGGGCCTGGGGTTAAGAACAACTTTCTTATGATACTAGCTCATATTTTCGTGTTTAAGTCAGTTTAAGTCAGTTTATTAAGGGAATGAGGCTTTCGCCCTTGAGCTCCCTATTCATATCGATAAACAGAAATAAAGTCATCAATTACATCAGCAAATGCGAAAAGTTAAGAAGTTAGCGGTAAGTGTGAGCTAGGCGCAAACTGCCGCCGCTAAAACAATCATTATTGTATGTACAGTAGGTTCCCAACAAGTGAGCGTCTAGTCTGCACTTAAAGGAGTTGACACTTTCGGAAAGAACGACGGCATCAGGGAGTCCATTCCATGCCCCGATGACCCTGTGAGAGAAGGCGTTCCGTCGGACGTCCGAATGAGCCCGCTTCCTCTGCAGTTTGAAGGGATGACCACGCAGACAGTCAGTCCGGGCCAATTCGAAAAATTCATCAAAGTCTAGGGCACACTCACGGCTTCTGACAATCCTGTAGGTTTGAATGAGATCGCTTCGCAGTTGCCTGTAATTTAGAGGAAACAGATTTAGTTCGGTCAGCCTGGTTTCGTAAGGTAAATGATGAAGATTCTTGACCATCTTCGTAGCCATCGCCTGTACTCTTTCCAGTCGTTGATAAACTTTCTTCAACCACGGTCGCCAGGCCTGGACCGCATACTCTAAGTGAGACCGGACGAATGCCCCATAGGTTTTTCCGAACAGTTCCTTGTCGATCTGCACAAATCCTCGCCTCAGCGCAAATAACACCCTTATCGCACTTTTGGCTGCCCTTTGACACTGTGAAGATGGTTTCAGCGAGGAGGTCATTAGGACTCCCAGGTCTTTCTGTTCCACAAAATTTGAAAGGGGCTGACCACCAAGGACGTATTGAAAGGAATCGTCCTCCTCACTGGTCCGTCTGGTGCGGAGTCTCAGGACCACACATTTGCCCACATTAAAATTGAGGAGCCAGCGAACTGACCAACTGCTCAGGCGGTTGAGAGTGTCTTGAAGCGTGTACCTGTCTGCATCAGATCTGATGGGTCTCCACAGCTTAACATCGTCAGCAAACATGATGGCGCTGCATCCCAGGTCGTCGACGCAGTCGTTAATGTAAACCAGGAATAGCAACGGCCCTAAGACGGAGCCCTGGGATACACCGCTTAGAACGGGAGTAGGAGTTGACCTTGAGGCCTCAATGCACACGGTTTTTGATCTCCCGGTAAGAAAATCTGTTATCCATGCCAGCAGCTTTCCTCTTATCCCAATTTCAGAAAGTTTGTAGATTAGGCGTTTGTGTGGGACGCTGTCGAACGCCTTCTTAAAGTCTGTGTATATGACATCAACCCTACAATCCTCGTCCAGTTCGCGAGTCCACTGCTCCGTCGAGAGCAATAAACTGGAAAGGCACGAGCGGTTCTGTCTAAAGCCGTGCTGCAGGTCTGAGATTAAATGGCCCTGCTCCAGGAACTCCATAGTTGCTTTCTTAACTATGGCCTCCATTATTTTACAGCAGATGCAGGTTAGACTAACAGGCCGGTAATTGTTAGCATTAGTGCGAGCCCCACCCTTGTATATCGGAAAGATATTTGCTGTCTTCCATTCCGATGGCAACCTCCCTAATTCGAATGACGAGCGGAAGATGTGCGCCAGTGGTTTGGAAAGTTCATTCGCCAGTTCCTTCAAGAATTTGGCCGGTATATTGTCCGGACCCGAGGACTTTGCTTCTTTGAGATTTTTCAGCTCCCTTTCCACGGCAGCTGCCGGGAAGAGTATGGAGTCAAGCACGGGACCAACAGTCTCAAGAGCATTGCCGGCACTGCGACAGCGAAACTCTGTTTCTCTAGTAAAAACGGAGGCAAAATACTGTCCTAAGTGTTCGGCTTTCTCGTTGTTCTCAATGATCTCTACACCATTATCATCCTTCAGCACCGCGACCGGGTCCTTATTTTTCAGTCTACCGTTCAGATAGTGAAATAAAATCTTAGGTTTCTGTTCAGCCTGTGGGATAATTTTGGATTCATACTCCTTCCGTGCCTGACGGATTTATTTTTTGACGGCATTTCGTTGACGACGAAATTCTTCGAAATGCGCTGGTGACGTAGTTTCCCTGAATATTTTCCATCTTTTGCTTTTCTTCCGTAACTGCCTATTTAGGTCCCTAGTTAACCAAGCAGGTCGACTAGTTGTTTTTTGTACTTTAGGTGGACAACAGCGCCTAATCAGATCGAGTGAAATCGTTTTAAAAGATCTCCAGTCGTCCTCCGGATCTCCCCTGAGTATTTGGTCCCAATTCACGGACAGCAATTTGTTCTTCATCATATTTAAATCTGCCTTCCATATATTAGGTTGGCCCTCTGTTCTCTTCTGGCGTTTAGAGAAGAGCGAGTAATCCCAAAGAAGCGTAGTATGGTCACTTTACCCGAGAGGTGCATTGGAATACACTTCGTCGATATTAGAGAAGTCTTTAGTGAAAACTAGGTCTAGACAATTTGCTCTCTGGTTCTCTCGAAATCTTGTTGGTACCTTCACATGTTGCGCCAGAGGGAGATCGAGTGTGAGGTCCAGTAGCTTATTGCGAATTCAATTAGCTCACGATCAACCGGTTTCATGTAGGCATTTGCGTATGGAATTCAGTTCATTTCAATGTGTCTGCGAATAGCATGCATCGTTTTGAACACCCGAGAGGGTACTGGGGATAAAAAATCAATATGAAAATAAATACGTGACCTAGATGGTTTCAGTAGGATTGAAATGACTGCTTTTGTAACTATTGGCTGACCGGTCTGAAATTTGCCACTGTTGAGTAGATGGACGACTGCAGTCCTCCACTCTTGCGAAATAATAGTCTGACGCTTCTTTCAGACCACCGATGATTTCGTGATGAGAAATTTGTACGAGCCTACCCGCTGAATACATCATTTCGATATTTACCTGTGCCAATGAAAAATTTGGGAGAATTAAATGGAGGACATTCGCCTCTATGTAACATTCTTTCAGAATCAGTCCAGGTTTTGTATCCAGTAGAGCGTGTGTGCTTGGTTTAATTCTACCGACAGCCAGATTGCTCCTTTGGACAGAAAAGGAGATGGTAACGAAGATGACAGATTTCAGTTCCGTTTTATTATCTAAGTTGACTACTGTGGTTCCAACGGAAATGCCGACTGAAATAATGTGAATAGACCTTTACCTTTTTGTGGTACATGCGGTAGTTCTCTGACAAATGCATCCACTTGATGCAGAATTGCGACCCTTCTCTGCGTCCTGCTGCGGAGTTACCCGAATGTATGCAATATCTTATTCTCCTAGCTTACGACTTGAGGGAGTACTAAAAATTCGCATCTGATTGCGGCATCCATTGAGCGGTTTCTTATATCCGGCAAATATTTTGGACATTTAAGCCCGACATATTGTAGCCACAGTCGCTGTTTGTTTTTATACTGATTTCTTTTGTCGCACTGAAGCGTGGGCTAGAGAACATAGGCCTACTAAATTCATATGGCAATGCTCAAAACTCCAACGACCCTCCTTTCGCAGATAGCAGTAAGAGCTTTCGGTGTTACTTATAAGTCTGTTGTATCCAGCTGGTCAACGCTTGAAATTCTCCACGCCCTCCTCTCAAGTGCTTCCACATTTGGCCCCTATTGACATTCCCCTTCCCCGTTTGTAACCTTTTTTGAGCGCGATCGGCGTTCTTTTGATTAACTAGTTTTGTATTCTGACCTTGAGCTGGGAATTCGATCTGCTCGAACAATAACAAAGGAATTCTTTGTCCAGGGTATCCATTGTTGAGGTTTGTACGTTTTTTCATTATTAATTTATTCTATCAATAGTACCGTATAAACACCGAAATCTGTTTTGGCTTATACGCGTCACTTTGCCGGCAAAGAATTCCACAGTACTCAACATCCTACCAGAAATTGGAGGAAATTAATTTCATCAAATGCAGACGCGTTCCATGAAGAATGAATCGGACGGTACGCAACAGTCTCTCGGACTAGACAAACCAGGTGCCTTCGAAGGACAAGGAGAGCTGAAGAAAGACGTACAGTCCGGCTCTTGTAAGAACGTTTCTATTAGTAGTCGTAGCTCTAGTAAAACAGTTAGAGCTTTAAAAATAGCCGAAATAGAAGAGAGGCGAGTTAAACGTGAGGTCGAACTCCAACGGGCTATTTTTGACGCAGAAAAAAGGACAGAGCTAGCAAGGATAGAGGTAGAGACCAATGAAGAGATGTCCGATGACGACCGTCAACCCGTGGATTCCGTCGCGCATGTCTCAGAATATTTGAAACAATGCACATTGGATGAAATTTCTCCTGAAGAGAGTAATCATTGCCAACGTGAGAATGTTGATATGCCCAAAGCAAGCGCTAGGAGCCTGCCAGCTGCCAGTTTAGAACTGCCCAAGGTTGAGTTGTCATGGTTTGACGGGAACCCAGTTCATTATTGGAAGTTTATACGACAGTTTGAAGTGTACGTAGAGAGCAAAGTTGAAGATGCTGGACAGAGGCTGCTGTACTTGATTCACTATTGCAGAGGGGATGCGAGAGCGGCCATAGAAGAATGCGTCATGCTTCCCTCACCTTCGGCTTATTCAAGAGCTCGGGAAATATTGAGCAGCTTATTTGGCCAGCCACATGTAGTGGCTAATGCTCTTCTGGACGGTGTTTTCAGACAGGCACGCCAAGTTAACCAGACTGCGAAGGCACTTTCAGATTTGTGCATAAAAATGAGAAGTTGTGAAATAGCGCTCACGCAAATGAACTACGTTTCCGACCTACAATCGCTGAATGTCCTAGAGCGAATAGTGCGCTGTTTGCTGTTTTTTATGCAGATTCAATGGGCTGAAGTTGCTGTTAAAATATCTATGAATGGTAGAGATCCGGATTTTGCAGACCTCATGGAATTCGTAAATACTCGAGCTAGGATAGCAAGAAGTCGTTTCGGACAAATATCTCGAGATGGGGATGGCAAGCGCTCTCAACAGCCTTTTACTGCCACGGCCCAACATCAAAAACGGGAGAACCCTAACAATTTTGCCATTTCGAGTGTCGAACCAGATCAACGGCCATGTTACATATGTTCTAATGCACATGAAGTGGCAAATTGCCCACGTTTAATTGCAATGGGTGTCGCAGGTCGATGGAATTGTCCGCGACAACACAAAGCGTGTTTTGTTTGTCTTGGTAATACGCATTTTGCCAAGGTGTGCAGTTCCAGAGAACTTTGCGGTCATTCCGGGTGCAAAAAAACGACATCATACGCCTTTGCATGTAATATCGTCGGAAAATAATCAACAAACATTGCATGATGAAGGGCTTTGTGCCCTGACTGGAATTACGCATGTACCATCACGACTGGGGGTTATTCCTGTCAAGTTGGCAACTCCGACAGGAAACGTCGAAACTTACGCATTTTTGGCCAGTGGCTCGGATGTCACTCTGATTAAACGAAAGCTTCTTGTCGGAAATGGCGTGTTAACAACGCCAGCAACATTGACAATAAACACCTTAAGCGGTTCAGTCAAATGCAACTCGGAAGTCAGAAGTCTAAGGGTGCTGCCCATGAATGGAACCGAGTCAGTTGAGGTTGAAAGGGCTTTGGTAGTCGAAGACTTGCCACTGCGTGCAGAATCGACAATTAAAAGGATAGCCTCTTCGTGGCCACACCTGAGCGATATAATGTTCCACGAGCTCACTGATTGCGAGGTTGACATACTCATTGGGAATGATATCGTGGAAGCTCATTGGGTACTCGACCAACGTCTGGGTGGCAAAAGGGAGCCGTTCGCCGTTAAAACACTGCTGGGCTGGATGCTGCTTGGGTCTTCACGTGGCAGGCCAAAACAGAACGCTGTCTGTCACTGCATTTTAAATCAAGAAAAGGACGTGACGCACAGCATTAGGAAGCTATACGACTCGGAGTTTACGGACACTTCAACAACGACTGCGAGTCACTCATTTGAGGACAAACGGGCACTGGCTATTGTGCGATCTTCCGTTACAATCATAAAAGGGCATTACCACTGCCACTCCCTTGGCGAAACAGTACGCTGAATTTACCGAACAATTTTCAGTTGACGTGTAAACGACTAATCCATCTCAAGAGTAAGTTGGGTCGAGATCCCGAATTACTTCGGAAATATGAGCAAACATTCCGTTCGTACATGGAGAAGGGATACATTGAGCGAGTTGACGGCAACAAAGCGTTCCCAGTTACGAGACACTGGTACTTACCACACCCCCTCCGTTGTCAACCCCCGAAAACCAGAAAAAATTCCTGTTGTATTTGACTGTGCTGCCAATTGTCAGGGCGTGTCTCTGAATGATAATCTATACCAAGGACCTGACCTTAAAGTTAAGCTAGTAAGTGTGTTGTTGGGTTTCCGACTTGAGCGTATTGCAGTGGTAGGGGATATATAGGAAATGTTCTTGCAAGTGAAAGTGAACCCGATTGATCGACCTGCACTGAAATTTTTGTGGTGGGAAAATGACGACCTTGAAGGAGAGCCAATTGAGTTTCAGTGGACATCTCACCCATTCGGATTGACTTCTTCGACCTTTTGTGCCACCTTTGCGTTGCAAAAAACTGTTGGAGATTTCGGTTCATCTTACTCTTCATCAACTTGCAGAGCGATTCACCAGAGTATATACGTTGATGATTGTCTAGTCTCGTTATGTGATGTCGATTCAGCCAAACGTTTTGTGGACGAAATTTGTAAACTTCTCTCTCAAGGCGGCTTTCGTATGCGAAACTGGGCTTCTAATGACCGGCGTATACTCTCGGTCGTTAGTGCGACTGAACGTTCTTCTGGTATGCGAGATATTGCCGTCAACCCCCTACCTACTGAACGAACTTTGGGGTTGCAGTGGGATAGGCATTCCGATATTCTGATGATAAGTTTCAATATGCCCGCAAAACGGTCCACTCGTAGGGGTATTTTGTCCTGTTTGTCCTCACTTTATGGCCCTCTAGGCTTCGTTTCGCCTTGGCTGATACCAGGGAAGTGTTTACTGCAATCCCTATGCAATAACGGACTGAATTGGGATGAAAAACTATCTGGCATCGAGAGCTCTCGTTGGGAAAACTGAATCTCTAATTTACGCAGCCTGAAGACTTTTCAGCTGGGTTGATGTCTAAAGCCCAAAGATATCAGCGATCCGATGCGAGCCGAACTGCACGTGTTTTGCGATGCCTCGGAAGTAGCATACAGTGCAGTAGCATATGCTCGCTTTATTAACGACACAGGAAATTTACATTGTTCACTCGTTTATTCGAAAGCCCGTGTTGCTCCCCTCAAAGCCGTCTCTATATCACGTTTAGAGTTGGCAGCTGCTACTCTGGCTGTGCGCGTGGCTGATCTCATCCGCTCAAGCACCGATAGATACTTCCAGACAATAACGTTCTGGACCGATTCTATGATAGTCCTTTATTATATACACAATGAATCAACCAGGTTCTGCACATTTGTGGCCAACCGACTGACGGTTATACATGATCTGTCTGCGACCTCTCAGTGGAGATACGTGAGTTCGGACGTCAACCCAGCAGACATTGCTTCTCGAGGTACGTGCAACTTTGCGCTGGTACATAGATGGTTGGACGGTCCGGAATTTTTAGTTCAACCTGAAGGCGAATGGTTTGTACAACCTCCCGTAGGACAACCTGAAGACTTGGAATTCAAGAGGACAGCAGCCCAAGTTCATGTATTAAATCAATGTGATGGTTTAGACGAATTAGTTATGCGTTTTTCAAGTTGGACAAGGCTACAAAGGGCTGTGGTCTGGCTCCTGCGTTTCATGCAGTACGTCAGAGTCACCACTGGCAAGGCACCTAAGGAGACGCTGATGTTGGGTCCTATCCGAGTATCGGAAATGCGCCAAGCTAGCATTAACTTGATAAAGCTTATACAAAGGAAACACTTTTCAGCCGAATTGGATATTCTGCAGTCTACATCAGCAGATTGCCAGAAAAGAAAGTCCGTGAGAAATATTGGCCTGAGAAAGTTATGTCCGGTTTTGATTGAAGGAGTAATGTGCGTTGGTGGTCGCCTGAACTGCTCAAATTTTTGTGAATCGTTAAAACACCCGTCAATCCTCCCATAAAATCATCCCGTGATGGAATTAATCATACATTACTTTCATGAATTGGAAGGCCATTGTGGGACAGCCCAAGTTCTAGGTGCAATCCGTCAAAAGTTCTGGATTCTAAAAGGAACCGCTTCTGTCAAACGTGTCATCGGTAGATGTTTACTTTGCAGACGTAAATTTCGACAACTTCAGGGGCAGATTATGTCCCCGCTTCCCTTAAATAGAAAAGAAGTCGGTTCGCATCCTTTCAAGTGCGCTGGGGTGGACTATTTTGGTCCGTTGATGGTCAAACGCGGACGATCTTCGGAGGAACGCTATGGTTGTATGTTTAGCTGCTTACAGACGAGAGCCGTTCATCTTGAGATTGCCGCCAGCCTGACCACGAATTCTTTTGTTCAGTGTCTGATGAGATTCGTGAGTAGACGCGGACGTCCCACTGACATCTACAGTGACAACGGAACCAATTTTGTTGGAGCGGTAGCAGAACTCCGAAAGGACTTACACAATTGGGACCAAAAGAGAGTGTCGGACCAACTGCTTACTCTAGAGATACAGTGGCATTTTAACCCACCTACTGCCAACCATCGGGGAGGCATCTGGGAACGAATGATCAGGTCTCTACGACGGATTCTTCTTGCTCGTTAGGACGGTATATATTAGAACGCCGGGCGGTCTCTTAAAAAGGGACGTTAGAAAGATTTGTCTACTTGAGGGTCAGAGCAGCCGTATACCTCCAAACACGTAGAACATTTACAAGAGCCGGACGTGGAGAATTGGCGGGCGGTGTTGTATCCAGCTGGTCAACGCTTGAAATTCTCCACGCCCTCCTCTCAAGTGCTTCCACATTTGGCCCCTGTTGACATTCCCCTTCCCCGTTTGTAACCTTTTTTGAGCGCGATCGGCGTTCTTTTGATTAACTAGTTTTGTATTCTGACCTTGAGCTGGGAATTCGATCTGCTCGAACAATAACAAAGGAATTCTTTATCCAGGGTATCCATTGTTGAGGTTTGTACGTTTTTTCATTATTACTTTATTCTATCAATAGTACCGTATAAACACCGAAATCTGTTTTGGCTTATACGCGTCACTTTACCAGCAAAGAATTCCACAAAGTCACTTAATTAACTTAATTCTAGGAATGACACTTTCGCCTTTGAACTCCTTACTCACATTCAGAGAATCAAAATAACCACATTTTACAACGGCAATTATAAAATGTAAAGCTCGTCAGTGTATGTTAGCTTGGCGTATCCTATCAGTACTGATACAATCGTGCCTATCTATGCATTTCTTCTGCAGCACATGCGTATCAAGTCGGTATCAAACTTTCCCAGCGGTGTCAGAAAGCTCAGCCTTATTAGACTGTCCGCTTCATCCTTCAACAACCCTTTACGAGAAGAAGTTTTGTCGGATATCCGTATTGACCATCATCCTCTGAAGCTTAAAAGGGTGACCACGCGGACGGTCAGTCCCAAGATGTCGAAAGAAGCTCTTGGAATTGAGAACTCACTCATCGCCTCTGATGGTCTACTAAAACTGAACAAAGCCACCGGACAGTTGCCGGAAGTCCACAAGAAACAAATTAACTTCAGCCGGTCTAGCTCCATATGACAGATTGCGGAGATTTTTTGTTATCCTCATAGCATCCTCCGGGCTCCTTGGAGCTGTTGACAGTCCGCCTTGAGCAGCCAACCCCAACAACGTACAACATACTCCACTCGAGGTCCAAAAAATGCTCCGCAGGTTTTGTCGCATCTGATCCCGGCTTATTTACACAATTGCTCTTCCCAACGTCCCTGTCCCTCGTCTACCTGAGTTTCGACATTATGCGGACGGTTCAAGCAAGGTCAAAAGGACGCAGACGTTCTCCTGTTCTTTAACAGTCGAAAGGGGCCTTCATTGAGGAAAGCATCGTTTTCCTCGTTGGTCCCTCTAAAAGTCTTCAAATCATAAACTTAGCTGGTTAAAACTTAGGAGCCAACAAGCAGACCAAGCACTAATTCGGTTCGGGTTTCCTCGAAGTGCGTGCATGTCTGCCGTAGGGCCGATTGCTCTCCAGAATTTTGATAATAATCTTAGGTTTTAGCAGCCAATGTCGTCGACGTAGCCATTGCTGCAGACTAGGAGGAGTATCAACCCAAGCATCGAGTCCTGATGGACATCACTTAGAACGGAGTTAGTGGTTGACTTCGAAGCTCCAAAACAAGTAGTTTGCGGTCTGTTCATAAGGACCAGTGATATCCGTGTCACTATCCTGTCTTTTATTTCAGTTTCGGAAAGTTTGTGAACTCCACTTTTGCGTCAGCGTTTGTGACGATGTATGTGTTCAATAACTAGATTTCCTCCGACGTAGCACGTATCATTGGCTCGGAATATGTTTTCAGGGACATCTCATAGCGTTGAACACCGTTCATATGGCATGCAGACACGGCAGCACGAGCGTAAGTACGAGGTTGTCATCTTCTTCAAGTACTGACTGCGAATCTGCTTGCTTTTTTATTCCGTATCCCCTAATGTGGACGAGATCAGAACAACAGCAGATATACGGCCGTCGCCAGGAACCTTTTTAACTTTGCATAACACTCCTTCCAAATTGCATTTTATATTTAGTTGCCCACACGGAAGT